ACGTTTTTACGAGAAATTGCGTAATTGTTCTTTTAAAAATAAATTTTCATTTACATAAAATACGATCCGCGCGATGAGAAAAAAAAACATACGCTGGAAATGCGAAACGCGCGGGATAACAAATAACAACAATCTGCAAATGTGAGGACAGATCCAGCTAATCTCGGAGATGTTATTGTTTGCGTTTTTTTCAGGCAGAATCCGATGTATATGATGAAAGGGGCTTATTAGTATGCTGGATAAGCGGCGGCTACATGCCTCCGGTACGTCGCCATGCACCCTCATCTTCGTGGTCGTTTTGGCACTAACTGGATGCTTCTCGTTTTGGATTCACATCGATGGTTCAGGATCGCCGATCCCGTACTCCAGCGGCAGTGTGGCCGTGCCAGGATATGTCCTTATATTTCCCGGAAACGTCACACCCTCGACGCAGCCCTACTCGATAAACGAACTTCCGTCCGATGATAAATCCACACTGATCAACATCACGGACTTCAGGTTTATCATGAACCACAATCCCTGCAACCGTACGCAGCCGTTGCTGCTAATGCTGGTTCATTCGGCGCCGGGAAATTTCCCGAAGAGGCACGTCGTGCGGGAGACCTGGGGTCAACAAGCGCCAGACGTGACTTTATTGTTTCTCGTGGGATACTCGGAGAAGTATCAATCCAGGCTCGAGGAGGAGAACAGGAAGTACCAAGACTTAATACAGGGAAACTTTCTTGATGCCTACAGAAACATGACCTACAAGCACGTTATGGGATTAAAGTGGGCTACTTATTATTGTCCAAGTAAGAAAAGATCGACAACCTCGAGACCCATCGATCGTTTTATTTATTTTTAAATAATGATCTTTTTTTTATTTTTTATATTCTCAGAACAATTTTATAATAATAATTAGAGTTATATTGACTCGATCGTGCATTATTTGCATTTTTGAGGAAAAAAATGCATGATTTTTATAGGCAGATCCTCATTTCTGTTTTTCTAATCTTCAATCTTCTTTTTCAATCTTTATTAATGTTACATAATAGTATAATTATGGATATTAAACTTTGATGTTGTTTTCGTGTTTCAGGTGCCAAATATATTCTTAAATTAGACGATGACGTTTTTGTTCATTTACCGGCCATGCTGGACTTTCTGACGCGTGGCCTCTCGCCGTGGGGTGCAAGACGTCTGATTCTCTGTGATCTTCTGTCGGCTTCCGCAGTGAAGAGATCCTGGCGCTCAAAGTGGCGCGTTTCTCCTCAGGAGTATCCCGGTAGACTTTATCCTGCGTATTGTGCCGGATGGGCGATCTTATACTCTCCCGATAGTGTATTTATATTGTATCGTGAAGCCCAGAAGGAGCCGTACTTCTGGATCGACGACGTTCACATTACCGGGACACTGGCTAGGAAAGTAAACTTAACGCAAACCTCATTACACTCTTGGGTGCTTACGACCGAGAGCATGCGGGACCTGCTGTCGAATCCGAGCGCCCGGCGGGATTTTCTGTTCGGGCCTCCGGATCTAACGGAGAGCGGAATACGAGCCTTACATAGTCTGGTTACTAAACCACGGCCTAGCAGCGAAAGCCTATTGAATTAAATGTCGAATAGAACAATTTCGTTATACTCGCTCGCCGTGACGCGAGGACAGAAGGAAAGAAGAGAGATACGATAATAGCGAGTGTTCTTATATACTTTTCGCATATCTTAATTCTACATTGGTATGCCCTGTACAACAGTTCAACGTAAGTGTTCGATTATTTGCACAATGTACAAACGCCATGTTATGTATGATACGAACATAATAGTGCGTTACATGTATGTGTGTGTATAATATGTGTGTGTGTATATGTATACACACACACACAGACGCAGCAAACACACACACACACACACACACACACACACACACACACATACAGACGCAGACAAACACACACACATACAGACGCAGCAAACACACTTATGCATGTGTAACAAAATATTACAAATTTTGCGATTGTCTTATTTAAACAAGGAATGAAACGGGTATAATTTCGGTGAGAATTCAATTTTTTGTACCATAGATACCAAGAAATCATAATCTCGCGCCAAGTCACGCCCAGCAAACAGCGAGGCGGAACGTATACTTGTATGCGGTCCGTCTAGTTTAGAGTACTTTAAATTATCTATGAATAATGCCTGGAGTTCCTAACATTTGGGAAAGACTCTTACGTCGATTGTCGCATACATTTACACTGTCACGGACAACACATAGGGATCAATATCATGTTTATAGCATCAGAATGTGAACTCAGCGTAATGATACCGATTTCAATTCCTCTCTATTAATATTTATTATTTATATTCAAAAAATAATACTCAGATATGTAGTGTAGGTTCAACTGAGTTACATTTATATACTAGATTAAAGATTAAGGGCTCTTTTCTCTATTTGAGACTGTCAACGTATAATCAGGGCTTGTAATCAAATAATGTTTTAAATTAATTTCAAGAGTATTTATAATTTTTAGATTTATTGAATTTTCAATTATATAAGTAATTATATATTAGTTATAAGTAGTTATGATATCGAGCACACAATCGTTTACATCACAATTACAATTGATACTTAATTTTTTATATACAAGTTGTATTATTTTATTAGCCATTTGGCATATTGTGTAATAAGTACGCACACATGCACGCACATGATTTCCTCAAATTTTGTTAAATCGAGAAAAGAACATTTTATCATCGCAAATTGACTTGATTTATTGTAAAATTTTTCGCGGTATTAAATACGCACGCGAATTTTTCAATTATTTGTACGTAAGTGATTTGGTAATTGCTTATGAGCCCTGATTATCAAGTAAATTGAATTAAATTAAGATTTTATTAATATTTTGTGCAATTTCCAAGATTTCAATTTGTTATCTTAAAGAAACAAAACATCAGCTATTTTCTTATTTATACTTATAAAAATGCCAACAATATGTATAAACATGGGAAGGATAGTATTAATAATTCAAGGGCAGCGAAAGTTCTGCGCGAAACTTACTTGTCTCCTGTGATCGGGAAGATTCTTCTCTCGCAGTGATAGAAATTTGCGAGGGACGAGCGTGTTACTTTATTGTAAATTTATTGATCGGCGACAAGTAACGGAGGTTCGTCGTGAAGCCACATTTGTGAATGTATTTAAATGTAATTGTAATAACAAGCAAATTTAAGATATTACATTGTTACGCAAGAACATTAACGAGTCAGATTAATATTGTTACGTAGCAACAAGTACAACCCCAAAACAAGGGTCCACTCGCAATTAGATACAGAGGTCGCAGATATTTGTCCGTTTTTGAACGTCTATAAATTTTTTATGTGAACATCCGTTGATCATCATAATTGTATTCGGTACTATGAAAGTACGTGCCTGCAAACTCTAACGTCTCGAACGTAAAAGAAAAAAGAAGAAGAATTGTGCTAGCTTTTAGTTATAATTAATAATTTCTTTAGGGTCGATGTGATAACTCCGATATTACTTAATATTGTATATTATCTCTTTTTCATCTGAAATACAACGAACGTGTATACGGAAAAAAACATGCAGAATTCCACTCGCCAGCACTTAGAGCTGAATTTTCCCGTGATACTACACGGGACAAATTCGGGCTCTACCGTCACTTTAAGTATCTATCTTCGCGAATTCCGCGAATTGGGCAGCATATTTGTATGATAATATAGCATTAAAAAATTGGTAATATTAGTTATTAAAAATTAAAAATATTATTAGTTATTAAAGGATCTCATCTTATTCCTCTGTGTGAGTATTCTCAAACGATTTTACTTGTGTATTTAGTTTCTTCTTATGTGCATACCATGTTGTCATGTATGGCTTTCGGAAGGAGGAAAGTATCTCTATTGCGATAATGTCAAATATCGCACAGTATAACATAATTCTTGTGATGGAATAAATATACTTATAATTTAAATAAATAATGGATTATTTAAATTACATGGTGTATTTTCATGTTCATTTGCAGCGGTTTTGCGTGTGTAACATATTATTCACGTAGTGAAGGGTAAAGGCATCTTCGATAATCTTCATGAATCAGATCAAATATATAGAAACATGGAGAAACGTACGCAGAGATAAACTCAATATCTTAAAGAATAACAATCGAAACATATCATTAATAATAATATCACCTAAGTTATTAAAAATTAAATATTTATTACGTACATGTAAAAAACGAAATTGCGTTTCGATTAATGATCGTTACAGTATCTTATCTGTGATAATTGTGAACTTGAATGAGAGACAAATGTTACGACTAAATAGGGTGACAAAAATGTATATATAGAAGTAACGTACAATCGGATATATATACTTTATTGGTCCAGCTGTTCAACTACGTAGAACTATTTATAAAACTTTACAAAATGCTCAACGTGTTGTAATAGGGGAACCTTGCCTAGGTATATTTACAAGGCAACGGAGTTACGCGATTTTTCTAGGAATCGATTGACGACAAAGCTGTTATACATTAATTGTAATTATCGCAGGTTCCTCAGAGAACATTTTGGATTACGATTTCGTGATATTTCGGATTAAGATAGTCTCATCGTAAACGCAACGTGATTGTGCAATTACCTCCAAGCTCGGATTTTGATCTAGCTAGAAAAAACTCGCTACAAATCTTTCTCAAAGCAATTCGGATGTAAAGTTTAAAAAAAATTTTACAAAACGACCCAATAATAATAAAATCAATCATTCTCAGGCACATTCGACCCTTCGTGCACCTATGTTCTAGACACACATGATTAATTTCGAAATCATTCCGAAAATGATAATTTACAAAATTATAATTATAATTATAATAGAAACGGCAATTCATAAATAAAAATAAAGTAAAAATAATCTACTATTGAGTTTTAATAGGATTTAATAATATGAAAAAGCATGTATGTCTTGTATAATATATTACATGAGTAAAATGTATCGTACAAAATGTACCGTGATAGAGATAAAGATAATTATTAATGATATTCATAATTTGTGAATTTATTATTACCAGTATTAATGCCGTAATGGTTTCATTAATTTCGACAGCAATAAATTCATGAAAATGCATCACTTTTATATTTACTCTTTTGTTTCCTTTTAACTTTTTATGCATCTCTTCTTTAATTAAAAAACGCATGTTTATATGCGTAAAAATACGAAAAGCTATTAAATTATTTCCTCTGTTGTGATATTTTTCTCTACTTTTATAAAATTTATTATTAAACGAAACGTTTCACAACTGCAGTGAAAATAAAAAGATAAAAAATTATATTAAAAATATTGGTAAACGATCAAATTGATATAAAAAGCAAAAACTATAAATAA